GGGGAGAATCACCCGTCCTTTCCCACCCACAAAGATAAAAATACAATTCTCCAGGCTCATTCTGAAGTGCCTGTCTCTGCAGAGGAACTACTGGGGGCGGGCTAAAAGCAGTGAGCTGTTAAAAAATACCTTCTCCTCCTGTGCAGATTTCAGACCAAATGCTGGAAGGTATGCACAGAAAATAGAAGGGGTGAGAATCCAAAGCTAAAACTTGACAGGCACGGGTTTGGGCATGAAACTGTTTGCATAGCTCTGATTGTCAGATAAGGTAAATATAGCTGATTAAAAAGGTTTTGGCTTGTCATCACAGAATATTTTGCCTGCATATTCAAAGTGGATGGATACATTATCTTATTAAAATTGCCTCCAGCAAATGGCAAAGTTGATATTAAGGAAGAAATGGGGGGGGGGGAAATTACCCTGAAACCCAACCATAACTCATAGCTCCGTACTTCACAATGAAAAAGTGTTACTATGTAGAAAGTCTGAAATCAAGGCTCTGTTTGGTGCACGGGTGAGTTACAGCACTGCATGAGCTGTTGTTAATGGTTAAGGTACTGGACTGAGACACTGGAGATCTGGGTTCAGTTTCTGGCTCTGTTGCAAACTTCCTGTGTGACCTTAGGCAAGTCACGTAGGCTCAGATCGTCAAAGGTATTTAGGTGCCAAATTCCCATTGAAATCAGTCTTTGTGCCTCGGTTGCCCATCTGTAAAATGGAGATAATAATACTTCCTTTATCAAAGGGGTAGCCGTGTTAGTCTGGATCTGTAAAAGCAGCAAAGAGTCCTGTGGCACCTTATAGACTAACAGACGTATAGGAGCATGAGCTTTTGTGGGTGAATACCCACATCCGAAGAAGTGGGTATTCACCCACGAAAGCTCATGCTCCTATACATCTGTTAGTCTATAAGGTGCCAGAGGACTCTCTGCTGCTAATACTTCCTTTGTTTGCCTTGCCTACTTACATTGTAAATTGCCTAAGGCAAGGCCTGTCTTACTTTGTGTATGTACAGCGCCAAGCACAATGGGTCCCCCATCTTGACTGGGGTTTCTAGGTGCTACTGGGTACATATTATAATAATACTAATAGCATCCAGGAGATGCCAATTCCTCATTCTGCACAGAAAGTGCAGCAGACGAAAAAAAGAAGCAGAATGCAATGCATTAGGTCTTTCACCTCTAAAGAGTGCTTTACACCTTGGTCAGATACGATAAGGGTCAGGATTAAGAACTTGAGAGCTGGGGACAAAAGCATTCTCAGCCAGGGGGATCCACCTAAGCACCAGACTATCAGAGAAGATTATGTGAATCCAGAGTCTGCCCGTCTTTAGGAAATGCTTCTTCAAAACTCCTTTCCACAACAGCGAGAATGACTCGCAACAAATCAGTCAACCAAAAGCAACAAGAGAGAACCCCAAGCAATTTTTACCCCCAAAAAGGAGAAGATCCAGAGACACCACAAAGTCCACGAGGAGACTTCTGTTGTTGCTGTTGATTTTTACATGGCAGGTGGTTAGATGCTCTGGTGATGGATGGCAGGATAAAATCCTGAGATAAGGACCAGTGGGATGGTTTACAGAGGGGGATTTCCAGAGTTATCAGATCCCCTAATTCCCCCCCCTCCCCTTTCACTCCCCAGTTTTCTTCTTTGCAAAGCACGTTTTTCTGGAGGGAAAAGCTCACAGCATTTGCACCTCATTCCCATTCCTGCACTGGAACAACCATAGTCTAACAAGCCAAAGTTGTGTTAGAAACAACACTGCCCAGGTTAGCGAAATCTAAATATTGCTCCGTCTCAGTTATCGCATTTTGGGTTTCTTACTCCTTAGGTGAAGGCCTGTTTCAAAAAATGAACAGCTATGAAATACACAGTAAAGCCAATCCATTGCACCTGTCCTAGAGGAGGTGCCCATGTACACACATCCATTTGGTGTCATTACATACATAGGAATTGCCAGATCCAAGGTACGAGTGGTCCAGCATCCTATCTCGTTCAGTGGCCAGTACCAGATGTGTCAGGGGAAGCTGTAAGAACTGTGTGATAGGCAGGCATGGAATAATCTGCTCCCGACATAGATCCTCCTCCTGCCTTCTAATAGTTAGAAATAGGCGTAAACCCAAAGCATGGGGGTTAATATCCCTTCTAAAATTTTTGTCATCATTAACTATTGTAATTCTTCATATTCTCATTATTCATATAAATAATATTACCTAGCTCTTATATATAGTTCTCATCCGTAGGTCTCTGAGTGATGGTCTCAGAGGGATCTCCAATCTCCTGCTAAATTCTTGGTCCAAATAATGTCTTGTGGCAATGAGTTCCGCAGTTTAATGACACGCCTGAAAAAGTATTTCCTTTTGTCAGTTTTGAATTTCTCACCTTTTAATTTCATTGGAATTTAATTGGATTGCCACAGTAAGTCATCGGTTTCATCTGTTGGTTACAGCAGTGGTCTGGGACTCCTGGGTTCTATTCCCAGGTCTGCCACTCGCTATGACCTAGGGCAAGTCATATAATCTCCAGCTGACCCATCAGTAATAATACTTCCCCTAATTTTCAGGAGTGTTGTGAGGATCGGTAAATCAGTGTTTGTAAAGTGCTCGCAGGGCCTTCTATGAAAAATGCCAAAAGGTTTATTTTAAAAAAGCATCTCTAAAGCTTCCTGGTAGAAAAGCATTTGGAAAAACGATCTCTACAGAAATGGGATCTTCAAAGTGAGAACTGTATGCAAAAACCATAGAGGGAGAATGATTGACTCCAAACAAAAATCAGTATTCCAAGTATTTTTAAAAAATCATGACAACAGTTCTCTGTTTTGTAAAAAATAAAATAAAATGAACAAAACCCAAATTTAAGGCCTAAATTACTTGATGTTGTCCCTGTAATTTTGTTTGTATTGCCTTTTAAGCATGAGCATGGGAATGAGCGACAGGGAGTGGATCACTTGATGATCACCTATTCATTCCCTCTGGGGCACCTGACATTGGCCACTGTCGGAAGACAGGATACTGCGCTAGGTGGACCTTTGGTCTGACCCAGTATGGCTGTTCTTATGTTCAAACACTTGCATGATTCTCATTTCAGCTATAGACTGGTGTAAATCTGGAGTGACTCCTTCAAAGTAAATGGCTTGTAAGTGTGATCAGGGTCAGGTCCATTTTCTGTGAATGTTCTTAACCTACCGCCACATTTTTTGCTGTCAATCTGTATTGACTTTCCTGGTGCAAACTCTTAATTCTCAAAGGCTGCCTTGTAAAATTTACCAGCTTCGGTGAGTCGAATTTTACAAGGGCTACTCCAACTTTATAGCACCTCAGCAATGTAGGTTCCGTCATTGCTCTGACCTTTAGCGTTGTTTTAATGTCTCCTAACCATGTGCCCAAGAGGCTGATTCTACCGAGGAAGGCAAAGCGCCAGGACCTGGAAAAGCAGTGCCAGGAACAACTCCGACAGAGAATCAAAATCCAAGTGTCTCTATCAAGTGGGGCCTCAGATAACCTCCCTAAAGTCTTTTAACTAGTGGCTTTATCTATTATTGAGTGCAGAGAGCGGCCTGCTGAGAACAGCTGCCTATGAAATATTTAAGTATTAAAATTTAGCTAAGAGCGTCGGTCGGATTCATCCATGCATCCTCTGTGGCAAAATAAATGGAACTCGCATCTTCTGAGGAGCGGGAGCTAGACGGGCCCTCAATCAGCCGTGCCATGTAATCTTTAATCATTTAAAATCCGCCCTCTTAGAACTTTCTCAAGGGGAAGAAAAACCCCAAGTTTTTAAACCTGTTTTCATGTTGTTTTTTCCTTTCCAAGTCTGAATTACAATTGAGATGATTGAGGTAATCTGAGGTGGTCCTGCAGCTTAGACAGTGGGCTGGCCAAAGGTCTGACAGGTTCTCTGTTTGGTATGTGGGGCACGAGGGTTTTTTAATGGGACTGAGTGGCTTACTGAAACTTTTGGTGGTGCAGATTGTTAACACACTGGCCTCTTCGCTGTCAGGTGCCTAGGTTCGCGTTACAAGTGAAACCAGCCTGGGCAGTCTTGGGTTTACTTACGGTGAGAAGAAAGCTAGTCTTGAGGAGAAGGGATGGTCTTGGGATAAAGCCACTGGGATCCAGGAGATCAGGGTTCAGATGTGATCCTAGGATGTATCTGGAGAGAGATTTCCAGTAGAGCTAGGGAAGTAGTAATGCCATTGTCCAAGGCACTGGTCAGACCTCATCTGGAATATGGTGTAAGTTCTGGTCGCCCATGTTCAAGAAAGTTGAATTCAAACAGGAACAGGTTCAGAGAAGGGCCACTAGCACGATCAGGGGAATGGAGGGCTCATCTCACGAGAGGAGACTGAAAGAGCTTGGCTTGTTTAGCCTAGCAAAAAGAAGGCTGAGACGGGATCTGATTGCTTTCTATAAATACATGGTGGAAGAAGAGCTATGTAACATAAACAGCAGTGTTGGCACAAGAACAAATGGGGATAAACTAGCCATGAATAAATTTAGGCTGGAAATCAGAAGGTTTCAAACCATCAGAGGAGTGGGGTACTAGAGCAGCCTACAAACAAGGATAGGGAGGACAAGAACCCCAATTCACCCAAGTTTGATAAATTTATGAACAGGGTTACAACCAGCGATTGCCTGCAATAGTACGGCATTGGACTTGATGACCCAGCAGGTCCTTTCCAATCTCATGTTCCTAATTCGCAGCTCTTCCACAGACTTCTTGTCTGATGTTGGGTAAACCACATAATCTGTGTGCCTCAGTTCCCCATCTGCAAAATGGGGATAATACTACTTTATTTTTTCCCCCTTCTTTGTCTTGTCTGTTTAGATTGTAAGCTCTTTGGGGGCAGGGACTGTGTCTTAATATGTGTGTGTACAGTAGTCCACATAAATGCATACCTCATCTGGGTTGGATCCTCTAGGTGCTAAAGACAAAGAAGTTGTAAAGTGTGGTTAATGCATATTCCCTGTGCTGGCCCCCATGTCTTGCCCTTGTTCCCTCTTGTGGTATGCAGTGTTGCAAACTCCTCTGTAGCTGCCAGATCCCTCCCTGTAGTTAGTCACAGAATGTTCTCTTAATTGGGGCGGAAACATTCTATGGCCATTCAGAAACAGTGGACTTTATCCCTTGTATGTCATTCTAATGGCATACCTTGCGCATAGCCCGTGATTGCAAAAGTATGTAAATATGACAATCCCTAAACAAGCTACTCACCAGCATACCTGGGCCTAATGCTTATTGCTGATATAAGTATCAGCCACCAGCAGAAGTTGTTTTCTTCATGACATCTCCCAGAGATGCCTTCTACGGAATTGGGGGTGGGGGGGAAGAGAAGGGTTGGTAGAGAAGAATTTCTTCTGTGGCTGTCTTGCTTTTCCAGCTTATTGACATGTTGCTGCAGTTCATCCGGGCGCCAACAGAGGGCAGTACACGCCTCTCTTTGGAAACGGGCTTGTCTACTGATTAGCATGTAAATTACAGTGACTGGAGGTGGAACTAGTATTTGAGTCTCCAGCTATCACCAATAGGTGGCTCTGTCAGATGAAGGAATCAGATACTTTGGACTTCTCTAGCTCCTTTCACCTGAGATTCTCAAAGCAATGTACACACATCAAGTAAGCCTCTCCCTCCTTTGTGAGGTAGGTCAGGGTTTTAGCCCGGTTTTACGGATGAGAAAACTGAGGCACACAAGATGAAGTGACTTATCCAAGGTCACATAGCAAGTCAATGGCAGAGCCAAGCAATTGCATCATGGAGTCCTAGTTCCCAATTCTACTAGCAGACCCATCTTTTCTTATCCAGCTTGGATGTTTCCAACGCACATGTCAGTAGAGCATGTCAAGAGATTCCGGAATTTTGATATTTCGATGAAAATTTGAATGTGGACATTTGGGGATTTTTTTTTTATGAAATCCCCCCTCTACACACACACACACACACACACACACATTTTTTAACCAGCTTTAGCTATCCCCATAGTATCTAAGCACAGAAGGTATAATATATATACCTTCACAGATGCCTGACTTCCAGTGACAACTTCTAATAATACAACCACCTACGCTTTAAAGAAATAAAATAACATGGAATACATTATTTGTGTTGGAATAATGTCCGGTGGCCCCAGTTATGGACCTGGGCCCCATTGCTCTGTACAAACACAGAGCAAAGAGATGGTACCTGCCCTGGAGAGCTTTGCAGGCTAAGCAGAGGACCAAAACAGACAATATCCCCAACAGTTTTCAGAAGCACGCATTTGAATCACAGGCTCTTAGCTTCTTTGCATGCTTATTGCTTGGAAACAACGTTAGTAGTAGCTCCTTATTGGACACGTGTCATGGGTATTAGGTCACATTAGGTATGTGTAGTTACACACACAGACACAGGTCAATTGCCATCTGTACAGAGAGACTTGGGGGAGGGGAATGATTTGCTCTAATGCTAGCATTTTGACTGTAGAGGAGATGGCCTCTATTACCTAATGTTGGCAATAGATTTTTTTTTTAATCTATTTACTGCTTCTTCCCCTATTTTCCCCTCCGACAACCAGGAAAGGGATCATTCCATAGAATATTTGGCATCTAACTCAGGATTCCTGCAAGAGCGGTGGATACCAAAGAAAAATAGGCAGGGCGGGGCCAAGACCCATTCTGCCATGACTCCTCCTCAACTCTTGGTGGAGGTGGCGTTCTTGATTCCTAAAGCCGTAGGGGAGCCATTGGTATTAACCGTCATCCTTCGTTATTTCTTCTCTCCAGGCTGGAATGAGCTTCTAATCGCCTCCTTCTCCCACCGTTCCATAGCTGTGAAAGATGGGATCCTCCTGGCCACCGGCCTCCATGTGCATCGGAACAGCGCTCACAGCGCAGGAGTCGGCGCCATCTTTGATAGGTGGGGGGCTGATGCCAGATGTTTTGGAAGGGGTCTAGGCTGAGGTGCATTGGCAGAGTTGTGGGTGGGGCAGACTGGAATAGCAGTGAGTGCCGCAGGTCAGGGCTAAGGTTTGTTGGCAGAGCTGTGATGTGGAGGTTTGGTTTGAGGGGATGGGACCGATTGGCCAGGATTGAGATGTATTGGCCATGCTATGCATATGGAAACTTGCCATCCATGTCAGTCCAGGCTGCAACCTCAAGTCTCCCCTTTTAAACGCACAGAAACGTCCAACTCAGAATAATTTGTGAGCTGCTCACCCAAAGCAAATTAATACATCTTTCATGGGGGCCAGCTGGCTCTAATGCCATGAAGAGGATGCTTGTTTATTGTGCTTTTCATCTTTAATTGGACCAAAATATTTGATTTTCACTCTGAACAACATAAAAGCACCAAAAATACCCAGCTGGCGCCACGCTCCTGCTCTTAGGGCGCATTTAATCCACAGCTTTGGCAAAGCGTTTTAACGTGAGACTTCCCTACTGTCTGACCCAGTTATTACTCAGAGCTCCACTCACATTGTGACTGCATCATCTGCCCTTGATAATTCTCCGAGATAGCTGGGTTGCGACCAAGGGACTGCTCATTATCTTTGCCTCATTCAGTCCCTCTTCTGAGCTGGGTGACAATATTCATTTCCTGTGAGGTCACAGGAGTGGCATCCTGACTTCACTGCAGGATCTCACAGGAAACGCTGGGCAAATATACCTGCAACAAGAGCAAAGAGAATGATAACAATTGGCAGCAGAGGAAATTGCTTTTGGATACTTTTTACTTTTTAGCCTTTCTCCAGTGTCAGAGCCCCTTACTAAACTCGCTCCGAAGCTAGTCTTTATGGTCCTCGCTATGTTTCTCAGGAACCATAGGCACCCAGCTTGGATTATGTTTGTGCAACAGCAGCGGGAGGGAGTCTTCAGCTGGTACATATTGGCACTGTTCCACTGACTTCAACAGACCTACTCCAGATGACATCAGTTGAGGGGCTGGCTCAGAGTTTGTTTGTTTTTCATGCTGATCCCATGGACTTTTTGTCTCCCTGCAGAGTACTGACAGAACTCGTGTCAAAAATGCGAGACATGCAGATGGACAAGACGGAGCTGGGCTGCCTGCGAGCCATTGTCCTCTTCAACCCTGGTACATTCAGATGCTCTCTCTTAATGTCCCAATTCGGGCTTGGCTGGGGCTCTGTTCTTTTGGCTCTTTCTTTTATTGACGGTAAACTGCTACTGTAAATAACTCTAGGCACCAGATACAGTGAGAGCCAGGTGAAAGAGAGGAGAAAGAAAATCAAAGGGGAGCTCCAGGGATGGGAGTGTGTGAGGCTATAAATATGCCTGTTTACCCTATCAGTGTATTGTGTGCAGTTCCCCCTTCCATCTAGGGCTGGTGTATGTAATGCCTAGAGAAATAGCCATAATCACATCTTAAATCTCCCCATTTGAAAGTGAATATAATATTTCATTGTCAGACTAAGGGGCATTTCCTCGTGGGGAGAGGGAAACATTACAGATATTAGGATTCTCTTGTAGGTGCAGGCTAACTAGGAATTGAGCTTAGCGCAGCGCAAAAGCCAGCCGATACCACTTCTTTGGAAGATTGCTTGGACCATATTTAGTCACAAGGGTTTTCCTAGTTGCGACCAACAGGCCAGATTCTCAGGTGGTGTTAATGGGCACTGCTGAACTGATCTTCATGGAGTCCTGCAGCCCGACAAAAGCAAAATTATCGGAGATTTCAGAAGTCAAAGCTGTTCTGTTATCTCCCAACAGGTTCAAAAGTGGATTGAAACTAGAGAACTACTTTGTAGCTGCCTTCTAAAAAAGGATGTCTCCAAGGCAAAACCAAAATGGTGACCAGTATTAGTTACTCTTGAGTCCGTATAGTGCCCAACACTCTAGCAAACGTAGTAACTGGATCCATGTGAAACGTTCATCTAGCAGCTGGATAGGGAGTATGATACAACCCCGCACTAGGCCATAATTGTTGGATTTTGTGAGAACCAGCACCACACACACACACAAACACACACACAGCTCATCAGATTAAGATGACTTATCCCTAACAAAACAACTCTGAGGATGGCATATCTCCATGTAACTAACACTCCACTAGCATTTAGCCATTGCTTCACTCAGCATTGCAACGTGAGACTGAGGCTACATCTACACTACAGGGGGGAGTCGATTTAAGATACGCAAATTCAGCTACGTGAATAGCGTAGCTGAATTCGACGTATCGCAGCCGACTTACCCCGCTGTGAGGACGGCGGCAAAATCGACCTCCGCGGCTTCCCATCGACGGTGCTTACTCCCACCTCCGCTGGTGGAGTAAGAGCGTCGATTCGGGGATCGATTGTCGCGTCCCATTGGGACGCGATAAATCGATCCCCGAGAGGTCGATTTCTACCCGCCGATTCAGGTGGGTAGTGTAGACCTAGTCTTAGTTAGGAGCCTTAGTCTCGTTGAAAGTCAATAGGATTTAGACTCCTAAATACCTAAGTCACGGTTGAAAAGGAGATGTAGGCTTCTAAGTCACTTAGGCCTTGCTGTGCAGAAGGCGTGGGGTTGTCCGAGGGATCAGCTGGGGAATGTAAATACTGACCAAGTCCCATAGGGAGCTGTCAAAAAAAGGGCTTTCTTTTGGCCCTGCTGCTGTGGTTTGTGTTTGGGCAAAACCACAAGTCAGCGGCTTGAGAGGAGCTTAAAGCTTTTTGATGAGGGCTTGTAATCGCTGGAGTGAACCAAAGTGCTGGATTTGGAGTGGGGAGGATAGAACCTTAGTCAGGCAAAGCCAATCCGACAGCTGATTATCTGTCCATCAGCCATCGTCAGACACACAATTGCTTGAGCTCTCCCAGAACCCACTGAACTGATGCACAGACTGGCTGGGATTCAGACCGCAGGCTCTAGGGATGAATATGGCAGCACAGCACGGTAGATAAATTGAAGGAGATAAACCCAAATCTGAAATTAGTCAGCATAACTGGATTTGTCCGAGTAGGAAATATTTGAGTGTAACTCTGCCATGTTATTTTTTTAAACCCTTTCAAGATATTTTAATTTACCTTTGCAATCCAGATCGGAAGCCACCAGAAGATGCCATCCACCGATGGCAGTTCAGTGGCCTGCATGAATTGAGATCGGTGGTCTCAGACCAGTTCCCTTGTGTCCACGGTGCAAAAACCACTAGCACCATAGTTGGTGCTAACTGTTCCCCTTGTTAGCAGCCTCTGCCAGGAGGCCAAGACTTAAAATGGCCCCGCTCCTCTCTTGTCCCCTAACTACAGGGTTCATGTCACGTTAGGGTTGAGGCCCATGGCTCACAGGATTGACGGATGTTGCTTGCTGCTTCCCATCCAGGCCAGCTCTGGAGCAGCTGAACCTTTATTGCTGTTTAGTTAGGGCAATCAAAATCCAATTCCCAGTGGGCAAAATCCACCAGCAGTTGTACAGCCGGCCCCTTTAATGGCAGTCTCAGCAAAGAGGCCAGGGATTAAATCAAGGTGGAGACCAAACTCACCCTCTGGCTTGTAGAGAGGTGGCAGGGTTGACACGAGTGCTGTATCTGTCCTGAGGATGCAACAAGCATGCTAGCTCCAGAGCTGTTCTTTGTAGCTCTTTCTTACAGGGGATTTATTGGGCTGTGGTAGAAACAATAGATGGCCTTGTAACACCCCTCCCCACTCCTCCCTCGCAGCGTAAAAGCAGAGATCGTTGGCTGATGAAGGCCATCAGTTCCTGTTTCCATCCCTTGTCTAGTTCCCTGGCTCTCTGTCTTCATCCAGCTAGCTGGTTTCCTGGGCCGGATGGGGAAGCTGATTTCCCAAACAGGGAGAGATGCTCGACAATTGCCTGACTTGAGTTCTGTTGCTTGTGAAAGAAACTGGGGAATGAAAGCACTATCAAGCCAGGTCCCCATCCCCGTCCCCTGCAGCACACTGCTCCTCGGTGCTGTACCACAAACCTGGGCTAGAGGTGGAGGGGGGGGGGGGAACGGACGCCATTGTAGGGTTGACAGAGAAATTCGGTCTCCATTTCCATTCTGCTCTCGGCCTTTGTGCTGAGCCAGCCAACAACCCAACTGCTGGGAACTAAACTGAGATAAACACTCTCCCCCATCAGACCTGACTCATTTCACAGAGGGCACCAAACAGTCCTCTCCAATTAGGTGCCCCTAAAGTGCTGTTCAGTCACCACCAAACTGGGCCAGAATCAAACCAGTGACCGGAGACATCCACTCCCCTTAGCTGGCCGTTAGGGGATGGCTCTGGATGTACACGGCCCACCAGTCGATACTCCTCACTCGCCTCTTGTCTCCATCCTGGAAATGTCCAACATGCTCCAAAATGTGCCTGAGTCTCGGCTAAGAGTCCTTGTTGTGTTTCAGACTCGAAAGGACTCTCCAACCCCGCTGAAGTGGAGGCTTTGCGTGAGAAGGTGTATGCGTCACTAGAGGCATACTGCAAACACAAATACCCCGACCAGCCTGGAAGGTGAGTGTCTGAGCGTGGATGCCTGCCATGGCCAGGGTTGGCACCAAGCTCCTGTTCTTTGCTACTAGACGAGACCTGTCCGCAGTGCCATCCAAAAGCTGCTCGTGGGGAAGGGTTCCAAGAAGCGCCTCCTCCCCATTCCAAGTAATAACAACACTATGCCCTGACTGTAGGCCAGGGGTAGGCAACCTATGGTATGGGTGCCGAAGGCGGGACACTAGCTGATTTTCAGTGGCACTCACACTGCCTGAGTCCTGGCCACCGGTCCGGGCGGCTCTGCATTTTAATTTAATTTTAAATGAAACTTCTTAAACATTTTAAAAACCTTATTTACTTTACATACAACAATAGTTTAGTTACCTATTATAGACTTATAGAAAGAGACCTTCTAAAACGTTAAAATATATGACTGGCACGCGAAACCTTAAATCAGAGTGAATAAATGAAGACTCGGCACAGCACTTCTGAAAGGTTGCCGACCCCTGCTGTAGGCAGTGCTTTTTGTCTGGGGAGCGCAGACCCTTTACAAGCCTTAAGATTTGCAATAATCGTATAGGTAGTTAATGTTCACCTTTTATAGATGAGTAAATGGAGACCGAGAGCTACATTTCCCTGCTGGTATAGGTGGAGGCAACACGGTTGAAGCGAAACCATTAATTTTTGCCCTGCCTGATCAATGGAGCCTCACAAGCCCCCCACTATGAAGTGCAGAAGTGTCACCACCCCCATTTTACTGAATGGCCAATGGAGGCAGAGAGAAGTGATCCAACTTGCACAAGGTCACGCAGCAAGTCAGTGCCGGGAATAGAACCGTTGGGTTCCTTCTGGTCCCCTGCTCTAGCCACTAGAAACATAGCAATGGGATGAGTGCACCCCAGGGGAAACCATCAAGAATCAACCACAGAAAAACAAGATACACGGAGTCAATTTTCTCGGAAAAACACATGAGCACCACTGATGGGAAGCAAAAGCCTCTGTTGAAGCTCCTCCTTTCTCTCTCTCTCTCTCTCTCTCTCTCCTCCCCTCCCCTATTCGAGCGTAGG